TTGGGAGTTTTAGGTGTCCCCACCCACCTTTATGTGTTTTAGCTCCTCCTGTTACATTCTCTATAAAATAAATAAATAAAAATCCAATAGGGATGGTGGGAGCCCCTCATAATGGGCACAGCGGGTGTACAGACCCGGGAACTCAGCACAGGGGTGGTGGGGGCCCCTTATAATTTGCACAGCAGGTGTACAGACCCGGGAACTCAGCACAGGGATGGTGGGGGCCCCTCATAATGGGCACAGCGGGTGTACAGACCCGGGAACTCAGCACAGGGATGGTGGGAGCTCCTCATAATGGGCACAGCAGGTCAGAGATGGACCCTATGAGCCCCGACCTCAACCCTACTGAACACCTTTGGGATGAGTTGAAACGTCGACTGTGATCCAGATCTTCTCATCCAACATCAGTACCTGACCTCACAAATGGGTACACATTTCCCCAGACACTCCAACATCTTGTGGAAAGTCTCCCCAGTAGAGGATGGAGGATGTTGTAGCCACTAAGATAATGTCAATCGAATTTCAGCAATTCTGTCGCTGACGAGGTGTCACTGAGGACAGAACCACTTGTGTGGAGCAGTGTGGAGTTCTGTGAAGCAGAAACGGTTAAAGGCATAAAATGGTATTTTATGAAGCCGATGTCAGGGGCTCGTAAAGGGCGGCGCGATCATTAAACAGCGAGGAACGCTTATGATATATTTACAATATGTCATATTTTTAGCGTGCGTCTCCAGCGGCCTGACCTGAGTGATTTGCACAGGGCGATGCTGTACAATATACAGCCGGAGTTAATGTTTATTAGAAAAGACCTTGACGGAGTTCCACCTCGCCGCCTCTCATGTGGAGTTAGTGATTAAAGGCCGCTACTGTCCAGGTTATGTGGGGGAAAGGAAGGGCAGAACTCAACACAGAATATGTATTTATATATATCTATATATTGTATACACTGAGTGGCCGGATTATTATATACACTGAGTGGCCGGATTATTATATACACCGAGTGGCCGGATTATTATGACCACCTGACGTTTGTAGGCTAATTAGCTATAATTTGGCGCTGAAGTTGCTAGAGGGCCAGACCATTATAAATAGGGAAGCAGGTTGGTTACCACGACAGTAGAAGTGATTTGTTTCGGAAGATACAGCGAAACAACGCGATGTAACAGCCTTTGCACGTGGGATGATTGTTGGCGCTCGGAGCCACGGAGCGAGTATCAGCAAAACAGCAGAATTCGTTCAATGTTCAGGAGCGGCTCATTGTTAAAGTGTTTAAAGACCGGACTGTCAGCCGGAAATCTGGGTCTGAACGTGCGAATTGTGGCCGTCAGCGACTAGTCAATGTTAGGGCAGAACGGGGGAGGGGCAAGACTGGTACAAGACAACAGAAGGGCAACAGTGCCGTGCCAGATTCCTCGCATCACCTTTCATCATCTCGTGGAGTCACCAGGCGGCCCAACCAAGTACTGATGGGGGGGTCATAATAATCTGGCCTCTCAGTGTATATTAAAGCTTATCTCCAGGTAAATAGCTAAACACGCAGATGAAATACATATATGGAGCTGTTTTACCTGCCAAAGGATTTCTGTCCATCCAGTCCTGAGATATACACAGCTCTGACACACCAAACAGCCCTGTGGTGTAGGGATCTTTCTCTGCTGCAATTCCTCTTTTACTTACAGCTTCCTCCCCACCCTGAGACAATGAAAAAGCTCATCTCTCTGTCATTATGCTCTGTCCTGCTATCAGCATGCTACGTGCAATGCAGCACACCTGATTGCCGCCTTTTGCTCTTGCGCTGCTTCTCTTTCCCCTCTCTTAGCCCTGTTGTACGGTAGACTGCAAGAAATCGATACCAGGTCAAAATCATGTACTTACACTTATATTTAAAGGAGAACTATGGGGTCAGGGCTTTTCTCCACAGTTCTCCTTAGGGTAACGGGAGGACACAAACTAGTGTCCTCCCGTCACCCTAAGCTCAGTATATAGGGAGCTACAGCTCGCGGTATACTGAGACTGCCGCAGCCGGAGCGGATCCCGACAATTATGCCGGGATCCGCCCAGCTGCGTGAGTGACAGCTGGCTCTGCCTATCTAGAGGTAGAGCCAGCTGTACCCGCCCCCTACCCCGTCCATTCCGCCAGGCAGCGCTGGAGGATCGAAGGGGGAAATCCAGCCCCTCCTCTGTCACAGCTCTCTGCCGTGACATGATCGAGGGGTGAGCGAACGCCGCTATGTGTTCGCTCACCTCCCGATCTACTGAGCCGACCTGTGACACTCTCATTGTCACAGGTCGGCTAGAACTATGAGGGGAGTGAAAAGCCCCCCCCCCCCCCCCTCATAGTTCTCCTTTAAGGATATGTTCATATTTGCATGAATCTGTGATGTGTATACAGTATATACTAACATATATTCAATGCTTCCACATAATGGTTGGATTCTCATCCCCGTGTCTCCGATCTCCATGAAGAAATCCCCATTGTGGAAACGTTGTCCCTGTAAATGTCCCTGAAAGATGTCACCAGCGCACCGAAGATCCGTTCGGAATCACCAACTGGATACGATTGTATCCATTCTGACGACTTGTTCAATAAAACGAGCATTTGGTGATTCCAAAAGGATCTTCGGTGTGCTGGTGGCGTCTTTCACATTCATCACGTGTGTACATGTCGCCTCTTGCAGCGTAGGTTAAACACTGCAATGTGCGCGGCGCGTCCTCCCGTGTGCGGCCGGGCAGAATAAGCATTCGTTGCTCCGCGCTCGCCTAATCAACTTGATGGGACTTTTCCAGCAGAGAGACTTCCAGCGCCGCGGGCTGAATCCGGGGCTCGGGGTCCCGTCTCTTCTCTGGCTGTCATCATCCCAAATTACACACAGGAAAGATTTCATAGGAAACATTTGATCTATTGGCTACGGGCTGCATGGAGGGAATAATTCGCATTTAGAGTTCTCCTAATAATGTTTATTTGTGCTGTTTGTTTGGGCCGAAGGATGTGTGACGTTCGGTGATTGCCAGAAGGCAAAACATAAAGAAGTATCGGTGTTTCCCTAAAAGATTATTACACAGAGAGAAGAGCAGAATAAATGTCTTCAGAATCCACATTGGTAATGGAGAGACTCAGTGATGTCACCGGTCTCTAGTGATTGGATCTCAGTGATGTCATCGCTCTCTAGTGATTGGATCTCAGTGATGTCATCGCTCTCTAGTGATTGGATCTCAGTGATGTCATCGCTCTCTAGTGATTGGATCTCAGTGATGTCATCGCTCTCTAGTGAACGGATAGGCTGCATTCCCAGTGATGTCACAGGTCTCTAGTGAATGGATAGGCTGCATTCTCAGTGATGTCATCGCTCTCTAGTGATTGGATAGGCTGCATTCTCAGTGATGTCACCGGTCTCTAGTGATTGGATAAGCTGCATTCTCAGTGATGTCACCGGTCTCTAGTGAATGGATAGGCTGCATTCTCAGTGATGTCACCGCTCTCTAGTGAATGGATAGGCTGCATTCTCAGTGATGTCACTGGTCTCTAGTGAATGGATAGGATATGAGGAACTTGCAGGTTTTCTTGCTCAGGTAAAGAGCCTTTCATATTTTCTTGCTGCATATGGCTGTAAATATTTCAGCGGAATGGACGGCACTCCAATAATGAATTGTTACCATACAATATAGAATGTACCTTCATATTCACACTCTGTATTCAGCACCAGCCTCGCCCCCCC